AATGTACAGTGTTGTCATAAAGGGATACATCTAGCATCTGCCATCCCACCCTCCAACATGCAGTATCATATGAGTCTATTTGTGATGAGACAGTAGGAACTGCAGATGCTGGAGAATCTGAGATAACAAGGTGTAGAGCTGGATGAACACAGCAGGCCAAGCAGCATCAGAGGAGCAGGAAGGCTGACATTTCGGGCCTAGACCCTTCTCCCTAAGCTGTCCCTGAAATTCCACAGAAATTCCAATGACTTCAGTAGCTTCATTAACTCTGGCTTTTAATTTGTTGTATTGTGAAGAAACCTCTTCAGCTTTCAAAATAAAAAGGCTTAAAAGCCCAGGACAAGTTACTGGAATCAATTTCTGGAAATAACTTTATTTCTCAATAAGTCAAGTTTCATCTTCTTAAGTTTTACTTAGCATTTTCCAGGCTATGTTTACAGACAGTGGCGCAATGCCAAAACAGCAATGCTGCAAGCAGATTTCAAGTTGTTGCATTTGATGCATGCTTCCTGGTTTGCAACAAAAACAATGTGTGTTTACATACAATGCTTAATGCAATAGAATATTTCAAGGTGCTTCACAAACGTTAAAAAATGAAAAGCATACCGAGTCACATAAACATATTTTAGGTACATGACCTAAAGATTGGTCAAAGAGGTAGGTTTTAAGGAACATCTTTAAAGATGAAAGAGGCATAGAGAAATAGCCAAAATTTCTGAGGTGGGAGAAGGAGAATTCCAGAGCTTGGCGGCTTGGCAGCTACAGTCATAGCTAACAATACTGAAGCAATTAAAATTGGAGATGTGCATGAGCCTGAATTAGAACAGACAAGATAATCTGAGGATTTTTGAGCTGAAGGTAATTATAAAGATGCCATGGAGGGATTTGAAAACTGGGATAAGAATTTTAAAATTGAGGTATTGCTTAACTGGGAGCTAGTGTAGGTCACACACACAATGGGCGATAGGTGAATTGGGCTTTTGCCATTTTGGTACAGGCAATGTTTTGGATGACCTCCAGATTACAGAAGTTGGAAGATGGTTAATCAGAGCTTCAGAGTAGTCAAGTCTAGGGTAATAAAGGCATGGTTGATAGTTTCAGCAGCAGATACATGAGTTAGGGTAGCATCAAGTAATATTAGGCAGGTGGAAATAAGTGTCTTAGTGATGGCACAGATACATGGTCATAAACTCAAATATGACACCAAAGTTCAACATAAATTGACACAGTCTCAGACAGCTGCAAGAGAGAAGAAAGTAGTAAGTTGCTACTGAATGGAGTTTGTGATGGACCGCTCATCTAAATGACCACATTCCTGGGATTGAGATTTAGGCTGCTGTCTCTTCCATGGGTATATAGGAGTCTGTTCTGCTCTGCTTGTGCCAACCTCACAGAACATTCCTCCTAGAGTTCCAGCCTATAAATGACTTCAGCTGACAGTTACTCTACTGCCACAATGAGGCATCATTTTCCCTTGATAACACAGTGATGCAACACTACTAGCCTTATAAACGACAGATCATTCCAAATTACTGTCTGTGAGGGCAAATAACACCTACAGTGGCAATGAGGATCCACAAAGGGTGTTCTTAGTATCTTACCATAGTTCCAGAAGGAGAGCAGAAAACCAGGAGAATCATAGAATCCCTACAGTGTGAAAACAGGCCCTTCAGCCCAACAAATCCACACCGACCCTCGGAGCATCCCACCCAGCCCCATACCCCTAAGCCACACATCCCTGAACACTACAGGCAATTTAGCATGGCCAACCCAACTAGCCTGCACATCTTTGGATTGTGGGAGGAAACCGGAGCACCCGGAGGAAACCCATGCAGACATGGGGAAAATGTGCAAACTCCTCACAGACAGTCACCTGAGGGTGGAATCAAACCCAGGTCCCTGGCGCTGTGAGGCAGCGGTGCTAACCACTGAGCCACCGTGCCGAAGTGGTGATAATAACCAAAGACATTCCGTATGAGCCTGGGAGAGCCTGAACAAAATTTCTAGCCAATATAATGTGTCTAAGTTTCTGGGTTACATATTTCAAACAGGTATAAACAGGCAAATGTGATACACTTGTAAAAATGGAAAATGTTAACCTCAATTGATGCAGGAGCTGAAATCTCTGCAACCCCTAGCTAATTTTCATAATAACATTTAAAAACAAAAGTGAGGCTATGACCTGCATTCCTGATGATCAATTAAACTCAAATGGAGCAAGATCCTTGACCTGAAACATTAACTACTTTTCTCTCCACGGATGCTGCCAGACATGCTGGGTATTTCCAGCATCTTCGGCTTCTTTTAATTTAAGGAATAGAACATTGATTTTCCAAACTGAATATTCAAAATTGGCATCACGTAGTCTCATAATACCTGCAGATGCACCTTTTAACTCTCTTTTCTCCATTGTATTGATCTGCCTCAATATCAAAGGTGTTGCACCTTTACGAACTTCCTCATAATTCATAGTTCTGCACCTCCTCAGTGGTATTATCAATTTTGTGAAAAATATGTAAAGTTTTGTGTAGTGGAATAGCAGCCTTTGGGGTGAAATTTCACCTTTATTGCTAGATAGAGAACAAAACAGTAATAGGATGCCCATTTAACATCTTGCCTTGTTTATATGCTCATTAACCTCAACAGCAACAGAAATAGGGATGAACGAAGAACAAATAGCACATCAGTAAGTGAAAGTCAACTCCATGAGGAGCTACACTGACATTGCCCAGAATCATTGCACTTGTGGCTAACAAACAATGAAGTCTTAGCTGAATTTGAGCTGAGGCAACTCTTCAAGAATGGTGTACAAATCAAATAAGCCAAATACCATCTAGTCCTACATATTACTAACATTTGATTTGCTTGAAGATAGGTGCTGTAATAAAATGGAATATTCTTTGTATAATTCTGCTATGAATTAAAGTTTAGCTCAGTGAATAAGATGTGACAATTGTCCATACTACTCAGTACACAAAATATAATTTCATATGTTCTGTCAATAACATTTTGAACAAATACTCACAAATAATTAAACACAAACGAGCTCAGCACTTCATTAATGAAAAGTACAATCTTTAAACATGTCTGTGCATAAGAAATAAATAGAAACAACACCAAACAAAATAAGATGACAATCAGGACTGTTTTTTTCTTGGCCACTAAGCACATGCAACATTAAAATGTAAAAGGAAGATTTCCTTTGGTTAGTATTTCTAGCAAAATTAAAATCATGTTATTTGAGAATATATTCATGTTTTCACGAGAAATGGTGATCAGAAGAAATCTTCCTGCTGTGGATATGATGTCGCAATCACCCAGCAACAAAGAAAATCTTTAGTCTGTAATGTTGAAACAGTCAGCCATCTGAATTCATTTGATCTCTGAAGCTGCTGACATACATATACTGTCAAATGGTAAAATGCTGTAAACAGCAGCTATAAACTATTGTTTTAAACAGATTTCCTGCAAACCAAATAAAATTTATGGTAAGAACCCATGGAGTGTATAAGATGGCAATATCAAGGAAAGACCCATAAATCATGAACCAAAACACCCTTATTCATTTATCTTTTAAAGAAAAAAAAACTGAGTGGCACTGATGCTGGTGATTCTAAATTCAGCTGTTTTGAAATTGGAAATTTATTTTTGTTAAATAAGGCAGGACATTATATCTAATGGTGTGGTCTCCCCCAGGTGGTTGTACAATCCATATCAGATATGTGTTTGTAAAACAGTCTCAGATTTCTTTTGAAAATTATCTATGAAACAAGATAGTGCTAATTAATGTTCAAGTAATTTTGTAAACTTTCTGTATATGTAAGGCAGAAGAAAACTTTAAATGTAGATATCAGAATCAGAGATTGTAAGTATTTACAAAGTTCTTGCTAACATTATGTAATTAACATCTGAAATTAACACAAAAGGTTCAGGTCTCAAGGTATGGATTGCTCATCAGCAGAGGGCTACCTGCCAATCAAAGTAATGTCATTCAGCAAAGCAGATAATACACTAATAAGCTCACAGTGAAGTCATTATGGTAGCTCTTTGTTGATACTTTTCATAAAGCCAGTAATTATCTACACATTTAATAGCAAAACAGCTGCATTAGAATGAAAGATCTTGTATATTTTTATGAATGTAGATAGTACTTTGATAATTTCACAATGTCCTATAACTCAATAATTTTTTTTATGTTTGAAAGGGTTACAAATGAAAGAAATGGTACCCTTTTTAAAATCTTCGTTTTTTGTTTACTTTTTAAGCAAAGCAAGGTTTTAAAAAGAAATGGTAAAACACTAACCTTCGATCATGTGCCTGCAGCAGTGAGCCACTCACAAGAGACAGGTGTTTTGTCCATTTGAAGACATGGGTGTTCTGAATATCGGTTCAGAATCTGGTAAAAATCCTTCCACATCACAAGATTTGTTTCAAATTGTTATAGCTTTGCGATAGTTATAAGGCAGTCCCTAACATATAATGTTGTCCAAAGTTCACTTCCTCTAAACATTTTCAAAAGATAAAAGACGAGTCATAGCAAATATCAAATCCAGAATGATTTGTCATCATCTAAAATGTGTTTCCAGTTCAAAAAATGTGTTGGTTATCTTTTGTTGTTTCATCGCTCTGTAGTATCAACTTTTATTACTTCACAGTTCATGTGTTAAACTTCAGGTACTTAATCCCAATCTTCGTCTGTTCTTAGATAACCCAGTTTTGCAGATTTACTGTTCAGGATAAATATGCAGATTTTAAAATAGTTATTTTACAACATTAGTATAAATCAATGCATTCACTTAGGTCATTACAAATATGATCAAGGGGATCCTCTAGTGAATTCCTTTGGATTTTTGTTTACATTAGATCATTTGCAACACATTAAGTGGATATACAATAAGCTTTGACAGCTCTACCAGCAAAGAGAGAGTCTAGTACTTCTCCAAACATGGAAAATCAGTACAAAAAGCTGAAGTTGCTGATTTAAGTCCCCATAAATATGAAGTAAACAAGGAATGCTCCAATTATCTAAATATACTGTTCAGTAATTCTTATATGATCTGTTCGAATTTTGTCGCATGAACACTTTGAAAAAATATATTGCGAACAGAGAAGTCCCACATTGCCTAAATACAAATACGATTTTTGTCTTCCTTAAGACTCCAAGTAAACTGGATTTCCTCTCTCTCTGACGGTAGCTACATTGTAAATAATACAAACACTGTTGCGAACTCTCATCACGACAGGCTTTGATGCGTTTAAGTACATTTCCGCCTCCCACCCCTACCGCTTAATTTTATGTATATAAATATATATATATGAAACAAAACATGAACGAAATAATGCAGGAAACAAAGGGTTGGACAGTCCATGACCTTTCTTCCTCACAGCAAAAGAAAACTGAGCTACTTCACACCTTCCGCCTCAATTACAAATTCAAAAAAAATACTTATGGAATTTTAAGACTTTACATTTGTTTCCAATTAATGAAGGCAAAACAAATACAAGACAGAGGCTGGAGCTGTACACAAGCTCCAGCTGTCCTATTGTGCACCTGCAGAAAACTGGTGCCTCATCAACAACCCCAAAACCCCTCCAACAGCCCACCCCCAAAAAAATTAAGAACCAGCGCCAAAGTGTATAACTAAACCTCTTGGAATGTATCTGACGGTCTGATAAAGAATGATGTATAAAATTGATATTTTCTTCTCGCCTAACTAATCTAACCTGTGTGGTTTGTACAAATGCTGGGTGGGTTTTTTTTTGTTTGTCAACCCCAAACAAGTCTTTCTCTGGACAGTTGTCATGTGGAAAGTGGCCGGGGCTACAGGTCGGTCTCTGTATTTGGATCCAGACAGAGTGCGTACAGAGATTTCCTGATGTCGGGAGCACTGTTGGCCTTCAGGTGAGCCCCCGCGCCATTGTTCACCCCCTCACTGTTCTCCAAGGGTTTGCCCAGGGAGCTCCTGCTCCTCTTCAGTTCCTCTGAGTGACTGGGCTCGCTGTCCGTGTCGTCCTTCAGGTACTGAGCCTGCTCCTCGTTGTCCGTCTCCCGGTGGTAGAAGTAGTTGAAGTTGGAGACGATGACGGGCACGGGCAGGGCGATGGTCAGGACGCCGGCGATGGCGCACAACGACCCCACGATCTTGCCGCCCATGGTGACCGGCTTCATGTCCCCGTAGCCCACCGTGGTCATGGTGACCACCGCCCACCAGAAGGCATCGGGGATGCTGGAGAAGTGGGAGCGGGGCTCGTCCGCCTCGGCGAAGTAGACGGCGCTGGAGAAGAGGATGACCCCGATGAAGAGGAAGAAGATGAGCAGGCCCAGCTCCCTCATGCTGGCCTTGAGGGTCTGGCCCAGGATCTGCAGGCCCTTGGAGTGGCGGGAGAGCTTGAAGATGCGGAAGACCCGCACCAGGCGGATGACCCTGAGGATGGCCAGGGACATGGCCTGCTGACCATTGGACTGCTGCTCGGCCAGCTCGGTGCCCAGGGTGATGAAGTACGGGATGATGGCCACAATGTCGATGATGTTCATGATGTCCCGGGCGAAGACCGACTTGCTGGGGCAGGCCAGGAAGCGGACCAGCAGCTCCAGGGTGAACCAGACCACGCAGGTGGTCTCGATGATGAAGAAGGGGTCACTGAGGCTACTGTTGTCCCCAGCCCCGGGGCCCTGGGCGCTGGCGTTGAGCGGAGAGTTGCTGGCGCTGTCGCGGTCATCGCGGAACTCGGGTAAGGTCTCCAGGCAGAAGATGATGATGGAGATGACAATGACCAGCACCGAGACGATGGCGATACCCCGGGCAGGGCTGGAACTCTCCGGGTACTCGAAGAGGAGCCACATCTGCTTCTGGAACTCATTGTGAGGCAAAGGCTTCTCCTCTTCCTTGATGAAGCCCTCGTCCTCACGGAACCTCTCCATGGCCTCGGGTCCCAGCTTGTAGAAGCGGATCTCGTCGGCGAACATGTCGATGGAGACATTGACGGGTCTGCGGATCCTGCCGCCCGACTGGTAGAAGTACAGGATGCCGTCGAAGCACGGCCGGTTGCGGTCGAAGAAATACTCGTTCTTCAGCGGGTCGAAGTACCTGATTCTCTTCTCGGGGTCTCCAAGCAGGCTGTCCGGGAACTGGCTCAAGGTGCTCAGCTGGGTCTCGTACCGGAGCCCGGCGATGTTGATCACCACCCGCTCCGAGCGGTTGACATCCAGCAGTTGTTGCTGTTGCAGGTTGTCCACCGGCGGCGCCTGGTCCACGGCTTTCAGCGGCCCCGCCGCGTTCATCTCGCCCGGAGCCGGGGGGTCCAGGTAGCCTTTGGCCGTCGGGCCAGCAGCGCTCACACCCAGGGGCGCCGAGATACCGCCTCCTCCACCTCCACCAGCACCACCTCCACCTCCACCTCTCTGGGAGCTCCCCAGAGCGGCGCCGCCGTCCTGCAACCTCACCAGAGCTATGTCCATCCCCGAGCCATTAAATATTCAACAGGAGCCGCTGCCTCGCTGACCTCCACATCCAGCGGGAACTGATCAGTCAGCGGAGCGCTGGGAGACACACACACACACACACACACACAGACTAAGAGAGAGAGAGAGACAGAGAGAGGAGATCAGCAGTCCCCACCCCAGAGCAAGGCACAGAGATACATCAAGGCATTGGATACAGCAGCGGAACCCGGATGAGCGACAAATAAATCATGATTGCAGCTCTCTCTCCCTCTGACGTCGAATGCTTGAAAAGGAGCAGCAGAATTTATCACCCACCGCTCTCACTAACTCCCCCGACCCTGGGCACTACTGCCCCAGACTCGACCCCTCCATTAAGCCCAGTCCACGCTCCCATACCTCCCCGCCCCGGTCCCGTCCCTCCTTTCCTTGCCTTGCCTTGCCCGCTCCCTTCCCATTCCCAGATACAAGCCGCGAGAAGCGAGTGAGAAACAAGCCCGCTCGCCAACCACAATCATTCAAACATCAACCCTTCTCTCATTTTTAAATGATTTCACAATACAAACAGGTAGAATGTTAAAAGACTTTTTTTTAAAGAAAAAGGAACCAACGTTTGAATGTTATTTTATTTACCCTATATGGTGGTTAAAGTGCTTTGTACAGTTGGGTCAGGGAGGTTTTGTGGCACAGTGAGTGCTGTCTCTGAGTCAGGAGCTTGGTTTCGAGTCCCGCTCCAGGACATTGTCAGTTTCAGAAATGCAGGTCCCTTTAAGGGTCTACCAGAACCGTCTCCGGAATTAAGAGCTGGGTTCTGGTCCACTGGGGGTTTGGCCTCGGGTCAGGCAGATTGTCCAGAATGGAAAGGTGAAAACTGGTGTTTGTGGATTTATAATAAATTTCTGAACACATTTTGCCATCTAATTCAACATATGAATGTAGGTCTGTTAAATAACTTGATGGACACTGAAGATGTCATGGCCAACCAGGCCGTTTATCAATTTCTGGTAGCCTATGGCAGTGGTGAGAGAGTTTCTTGGTCAGCCATGTTTCATGTGACCTTCCTCCATCTATAGCCTCTAGTGAGAGGCTAACCACAGAATCATGTGTAAACACATTTACTTTTTCTGCCTCATGTCACCTAAGCATATGAGCAGGCCGGTGGGACTAGTTTAGTTTGGGATTATGTTCAGCATGGACTGGTTGGACCGAAACGTTTGTGCTGTATAGCTGCATGACTCTATGACAAAGCGATGATTTTATCCGGTCAGCGATTGAGAGAACAGATGGACTTAATTGTATGGTGCTGTTTCTTTATGGAACATTAAGGAGTGATCCAGTGGTAAGTAAATTGATAGCCACCAAACTAAAACTAATGCAAAGTAATCATGATCCCAATTGATTGATGCCCTCCCCAGGAGTGTGACAGCTTGCACAGTGCACAATCTGTAAGGCATCACATTTATGCTGAGGCATGGTTTTGTTTCAGGTTTTGAAAGCAAATTCCTGCTTAGGTCTCTTCCTAAGCAAAGATTCTTCAAATAGAGGCTGAATGCAAACTGTGAAATTTTAAGCATATTTGACCAGAATGGGTGCACAATTTAATAGTTCATAAAATAATACACTAACATAACTGAAACTAGTTTTCAGAAGATTGAGAACTAACGTATGCCACCACCCCTTAAAATGCTGAATGGCATGAGGACTATTCATGCTAATAAATTGTATCTATTAAAAATTGAACAATCAATTCATAAAATCATGCTCTCAGAAAAGACCCTCAGCCACTACAAAGTCAAGTGAGGTTTCTCAGGATCTTCCCTACAAATTTCTACAGTCAGGATGATGGATCAGCAACCCAAAGTATGATGAACACTTTAAACGTTTAATTCCAAAATGTGATGTCTTTGGGGAAAAAAAGGACTACAACAGACCCCCAAGAAACATACACATAAATTCAGTGTTGTTCAGAAAAATACTTTGCATGATCCATGGAATGTTGCATCTGAAGAATGTCAGGGAAACCTCAAAGAGAGAGACATAACAGAAGGAGATAATGAGGGAGTTAATATATAGCCCCCTTAGCAGAAAACTACCTCTTGCAGACATTTTTTTGTGTTTTATCCTTCCACAAATATACTAAAAAGGGATTACAAACTAACTGTAACCTTGGTCTGAGAGTGCCAGTGGGTGAAGGTTTGCTAGTAAAAGAATCACCAACAAGTCACCCTGGATTACAGGTAAACGGATTCTCTGACAAAGAATGCTGGAAGCTAACCGCTAACAAACCAGTCAAAAGAAAAGCAAGGGAGGGAGAGACTCTTTCAATCTGCATGTTACAATCCAAACACCATCAACAGGAAACAGAAGAAAAGGATTTTGACTAACTTCAAAACCACTGTTTATTCTTCATGGACCACCCAGAGAAACTGATCCATACCCCTTTTATATTTTTGTGTTTTTTTAAGACTCACTTCTTATCCCTATCTGCATGTAAGTGTATTACTTTATTGTTTCTTTTCACATCAAGTAACCAATAATCTCACTCATTTGTTCACTCAAGAAAGCGAGTTCAAATTGCTCCTTTTAAAACATTAATTTGGTCTGGGAGAAAAGATTCCACACGGAGGAATCCTGTCTAAAATAACTTTTTTGCAACCAACTGAGAAGATAGATAAATAAAGACAGGGAGCCAGTTCATCCTATCTCACTTGGCAGCTTAATGATTTTGGGTATCCATCCAGTGCCACAATAACTTTGGAGAATTTCATCCCCAGATTGGTTGCAGAAGTTATGTAAAATCCCAACTTTGGCATTGATTTGGTGTCCAACAGGGGTTTGGAGGAGATGGTGGCTGTAATGAGAGAATGTTTGCAGCCTACATCAATCTGTTGCTCTGCATCCCAGTAAATATATGAATCTCACTGAGGGCATGTCTTTTTCTAAATGCCTTTTCCCCAAGGTTTGGAATAGCTACTGACGTTGAACTTGAGCAGAATATGGTACTTCCCATGTAGATTTGTGTACACAAACTGTAACGAGGAGGTGGTGGGTGAATTTGGAAGGGGAGCCAGTTCGTCCCTCTTCATCTGGGCAGTTTAACAGATTGGAGTATCCCAACTGGAAATGAAATGAATTGGGGAATTTTGCCCAGGGTCTGGTTGTAATATAGGTAACTATAATAGACCACCTGCCAGTACTGATTTAAGTAATTCTGCAGACTGAATGGGGTATAAGTAGTTAATACTGGTTCTTGCAAGTGAGTAATTTTTGAAGATTAAGGATTAAGCACAAGGTAGGGTTTGGCAGAGCTTAAATTTAGGGCAGATGTATCACGTGTTTCTCATGTTATTCAAGTAATGCAAAACACTAATAATGTAGAATAGGCCTCAGCATAACATGCCATAAGTCCTTTTGGATGCTTCTGACTGTCAGACTGCTTCAGACTGCTTCTGACTGTCCAGTCAACTGTTAACCCCACATGTCTGTTCAACTGAATGTTAAAAAGTCCTGTGGCACTTTTCTAAGAGCAGCAAATTTCCTAGTATCCTCTCTGAACTAATTCCTCAATGAATCGATCATTTCATTCATTGCTGTTGATTGAACATTGCTTTCATAAGATGACTGGCACTGTTGTTTTTATAACATCGGCATGTTTGAAAATTTCCCAATGACTTTCTGAAATTAATAAAGACTGATAGCTTGTGTTTCTTTTAAAAAATCGCATTTAATTGAAAATAAAGACAAATGAACGAATAAAATGTTCAAAAATCCACACGCAGTTGTAATGTACTAGCAAACTCTAATTCCAATTTATCATTTCTTAATAATTTAGTACTGTACTATTCAAACTTCTGTAAATTGTTATTAGATTTAGTGAATTTAAATCACTAGTGTCTGACCAAAAATGTATGCACAACCTTTACAAATCACATCTTCAAGTTAATTCATTTGCTGTCCCATTTCACATTAGTAATAGATGTGAAATCCTGATAGAGCCTGCAAATGAAAAGCTGGTTTCTAATTGGCTCATGGTCTTGGCTTTCCATCATTCTGTTTTGCTTTTTCTATCTTGTGGTTCCCACTTTTAAGGATTTCCTACTTTTCAGTTGTACTTCCAATTAAAATTGATGCAATGAAGGGGTTCCTTTGTCTCACATAGATAGCTCTCTAATTGCTCCCAATGAGAACCTAGATGTCTTGAAGGTTTGTGTTGCTGTAATGCAACACAAAAACAACCAAATTTGATTTATCCTTTCCTTGAGCACTGCTTTTGTTGACCATCAGAATCAGAGGTCATCCACTACCATTAATTAAATGGCACTTTCACTTTAACCTTATCTGTCTCCATTGATCTCCCAGGTTGCATCTGGACATTGTATCACATCCATGACAGTGTCAACCTAAAGGAGACAGCTTTTGTTTGTAAATTCCCCCATCTCACTGGACTGCTTGCATTCAATATGCAGCTGTGGCTAATAAGCAATGGGGTCAAAAAGATGAACTCTCAGGCCACATATGGCACAATTTTATTTTTAGAACAGTTATCACTGAATCCAAAGAAGAAATTAATGTACTAAAATGGTAAAATTTTTGACCCATTCATGGTCAAATTTGTATTGTCATTTCTCCACTCTAAGTAATATGAGCCATGAAATGAAAGCCCCGATATTTATATAATGATTATCTGGTAATTGGCCATGTGTGACAGTTTCTTTAGATATGTAAATATATGTGTATGTATTTGTGTAGCACACATCAACAAAGATTGTGACAATTCTTTGGATTGTTAATGCTGCTTCCCCAGTATTTAGGAAGTAAATGTCTCTCTAAACTTTTGAAAAGGCACCTTTTGCATGTGAACAGGTTGATTTTTTAAGCCAGTAGTGACAGTCACTCCCCTAGCAACATCCCTGGACTTTGCAATGGCAACATATAAAGCACCTAACTGTGGGCAGCTATGTCCTTTTGGAGTTGTGGTGATGGAGATTGAAATCCCCCATCCAGAGTATATTCTGAGTCTATGGCACCCTCAATATTTTCACCAAGTGGCGTTCATTATGGTGGAGTAGAGGAGGCGGGCTTTGGTGGTACATTGGAATCAATAGGA